TCATGAACTTGGGTATTATAGAAATTGGCAGCGATGATGCCAAATGTTCAGCGAACAGAGTTGTCTAGTTGATTTTTATTATATATATTTTTAAATGAATTGTTGTATGGTCTCTGATAGCTCACTGGTTGGATTGGCCGTTGATGTTGGCCTGTTGCAGTGTCGTTGGCTGCTTATAATCTAAATTTTATGTTTAATTGTTTATTTTTGTTGCTACTTGCAATTTGGTTGTTTCAATTTTATGTTTTCTGAAATCTGAACATAAACTGAAAGTCTGAAAGTGAGGCTACTGGCTGCTGGATGTTGGTCGTTGTTATTGCAGACTTGCAGTGTTGCTGGTTGCTTATAATGTGATATTCAGAATTTATGATGCTTAATGAATTAGTGTTTTTGATGAATTAATGTGAAGGCTAAACTGCTAAAGGGTTTAACTATGAAAGCTTAAGCAATGATGAAAAACCTTCTAAACAGAAAGTGATAGCAGTCGTGTACTCGTGTGTTGGTTAATACTATTGCAACCGGGTGGTATTTGCGTTAGCTAAATGCCTAAATTCAAGAGCAGATACTTTATTAATTCATTGATACTACATCAAGTCATTAAGTTTAATGCAAATTGCCGCCTTGGATGGTAATAATAAGAAAAATCAAATATGTTCGAGACTAAATACTGGCTAAATGTGTTGGAGACTTCGAGGGCTTACCTGAGCTAATCAAATAAAGCTTTCTAGTTATACAATTATGCAATCTAGAGCTTCTCATTATTTGGAATTTTAGCTTTTAGTGTTTATTGTTTAAACCTTTTTTTTTTTTGCTCTTAATTCAAGTTGAAAACAGGCTCAACAATCAAGAATTTAAGATGAAGTGTTTCCACGTGGCGTGTAGCCAGTATAAGAATAAAGAAATGTAATTTGAGTTTGTTTGTAAATTATTTAGTTTGTATTTTGTATATTGTAATTTGTAACCATTTTGACTGTTTGGTGTTACTGTTTTGCTGTTTAAGTTTAATTACTATTTTGCTGCTAATCAAATGACTGTTTTAGTTTAATTAATGTTTCAATTTGACTCCGTTTTTAACAAATTTTTAAAATTTTCACGGATTTAATATTTTTTGTGTCGGGTCGTGTTGACTCGAACCCGGATTGGGTTCGGTTCTACAAAATTGACCCGAAACCAATTCCAGGTCGTGTCAGATATAAGCGGGTCAAATTTGGGTCTGACCCGAACACGACCCGCCGACACGAATTGACAGCCCTACTTAAATTTGACGCAAGATAGTAACCAAGTCTTTACATTTTGTAATTCATAGGGCTGCAAGTGAATCAAACGTTCGATGAACTACTTGTTGTTCGGTTCGATTAAAGCTCGTTTGTGATCGTTTAATAACTAAACAAACAAACTTGAACAATATTTTAAATACTCGATTCTTAAATAAACAAACTTGAACACTAATGCGTTCGGCTCATTTATGTTCGCGAACAACATCATTTGAAGTTCGTGAACAAGCTCGACATTAAGCTCGATAAGAAGCTCGATAAAAGCACGATTCGTGTTCGATTTTGAACTCGTGAATAAGCTTGATAAAAATAATTAATATTTGACTATATAATTAATAAATATAAATAATCATTACCTTTGTTATATAGACAATTGCTTTTATTATAAATGTGTTTGTTCATAAATATGTTCATGAATGTATTTGTTTGATAATTAAAACAAATTCGTTAAATATGTTCGCGAACAAGCTCGATAAACACTAAACAAACTAACATGAACTGAACATGAACCGAATATGAACACTCATTAATTTAAATGAACCAAACATGAACACAAACAATAAATCTCGAACAAACATGAACCAAACTTAAACAAGCTGATATTAAATGAACACAAACATGAACACTCACATACTCGGCTCGGCTCGGTTCGTTTGTAGCCCTAGTAATTCACATATATGAAATTCCTTAGTAGCCTCCACATGAAAAATAGAAATTGTTCTCTGGATGGTCTCAAGGCAATTTGAATGAGGTTTTTAAATATAAAATTATCATAGAAAAATTTCAGAGTAAATTTGTCAAATTTAATACGGTTAAATTCAGAGAATTGGAGAGAAAAAAAACTTAATTTTATCATACAAAACTATCTATATTTATAGATCTATATAAGACATATTAATAAAGAAATAAATAAATATGGAATCATGCATAATTGCCAGAATATAATCCTTCATAAATCAGCCACCCGAATATGGAAGGAGATTAGTGTGATCTAAGTGAGACTACCACAGATCCTCATCCCGGTCGTTGGATCAAGTGTCAAGGGATGGCTAAGATTTAACAGCGTGATCTAGGTGAGCCTCCTACGGATCCTCTTGTTGGTCGTGGGATCAAGGGCCAAGGAATATAGATTTTAAATCTCCCCCTCAAGATGGGGAATATAGATATGTCATTCCCGGCTTGATAATTAGCCGAAAAAAGTAGAGTTGTCAAGTACCTTGATGCATCATAAAGTCCTCCATTTGATCAAAACATTGGGAGAAATTAGCTTCAGGCATTGCAGTGGCAAATTGTAGCAATGAAGGTTATATTAAGCAGGGCAACAATAAATGTTGCATTGGTTATAAATAAGATAACAACCACATGAGAAGGCCATCAACGAAGGCATGGAAGTAAGAAAAAAAATATGTTTTTAGGGTTGCAGAAAGCTTCAATAACAAGAGTAGAAAAGCATATCTTAAGCGGCACAACACTTGCGCGAAAATCTCCTCCCGTCTGATCGAGCTAACATTTACGCCAATGCAAATCAGTGGTCCGACTCCACCTAAACACTCTTGTTCGATCGACCCAGCATGAACGCATGCAAGGCCTCTAATACCTCTGGTTTAATCGCAGGAAGGTGTGCAGGTCTTACACTCTTGCTTATCCCATCCCTAGACTTTTACGAGAGGGAACGCTCAGCTCATTCCATACGCATGCAAGAGAAGGTCATGTGCTCGACTACTCTCGCTTCTGCTCAGTCAACTTTGGATGTTGCACGCGAGAGGAGCTCTCCCGCTTGGTCTCTCATCAGTCTTGGAAGTACGAAGGAAGCAGGACCAATAATCCTTAGAATTCCGGCAATGATGGCCGGTGGAAGGACCAGTTTTTCGCATAATTCCAATAATAAAGGCCAGTGGTGGGAATCTGTATTCCTCAAAATTCTAGCACAAGTGGTGGGAACCTGTATTCCTCAGAATTTTAGCAATAAAGGTCGGTGGTGGGAACATGTATCCTCAAAATTTCAGCAATGAAGGCTGGTGGTGGAAACCTGTATTTCTCATAATTTTGCCAATGAATGTTAGTGGTGGGAACTTGAAGAACCAGCAAGCGTCAACTTCTTTAGGATAGGATAAAGGGCTTATAATATCTCTGTAGCCTCACTCTTGATATCAATGATCGACTCCCTACTTAGAAAAGTAACGTATTTTACCATCTGCGCGGTCACCAACTCTTTTATTACCATAAGCACGCACTGAACCGTAGCAGTGAACTGTCTTACCACCAAGAAAGCCTTCTTCCTCCCCACCGCATGCATCGTCTGGGCAAATCCACATATCAGGGCCATTCCGTCGGCGAGCTTCGAAATCGACAAACCGACTTCAGTCAAAATCCAACCGACAAGGTTCTTAATGATGATTCCATTAGCGACAACGAAGAAGGTGTGAACATGGGTTGCAAATTGGTGTTTGTTTGATTTGAGGGATTGATCCCAGTGGCAGAGATCTTAGGAGAGGTCGACTTCTGCTGTTGTCCAGAAGGAGGATTCGACCTTCTTGTACATCTCCCAAATCTGAGGTAGCGGATCGGGAACATGCAGAAGCTAACAGGATTTAGGGCAACGAGGGCTCTTCGAGTGGAGGGTTTGATGGTATGTACAACAGCTCTTCAACCGCTCCTTCCTTACTCGGTTTAGCTTCAGCACACACACAAGGGCCATTCATCCCCGCTCAGGCATGCACGCACCCAATTCCTACTCGCTCCCTATTTTGATTCTCTTCTTCACTTGGCTCGGCTCCTAAGGAGGCACGTACAAGAGCCACACGCAGAAGACCGCAAAGGGGAAGCCCTCTCACTTGCTTGATTCCTCTGGACGCATGCGAGCAGGAACAGAACTCAAGAATCAGCTCTCCCTCTCTCACGCTCTAGTTTTTGAAGAAAAGCCGAATGCCTTGCTCTGATACCATGTTAAAGTCAGAGAATTTGAGAGGGAAAATGCTTAATTTTATTATACAAAACAATCTCTATTTATAAATATGTGCAAGATATCTTAATAAAGAAATAAATAAAAATAGAATCAGGCATAGTTTCCCTAATATAATCCTTCCTAAATCAGCCACCTAAATACGGAAGGATATCGACATTATCCACGTAAGCCTCTCACGAATCCCCATCCTGGTCGTGGGATTAAGGACCAAAAGACGACTGAGATTTAGTAGCATGATCTAGGTGAGCGTCCCACGAATCTCCATATTAGCCATGGGATCAAGGGCCAAGGGATGATTGAGATTTTAACTATTACTTCTGAAAATAATTTGGTATGGAAGTGTAATATTAAATGGAATTTCAGTTATTTGTAGCAGAAATTCAATAAGCTCAGCTGTGAAATATTTCCCTTGATTGAACAATTTGTTGACAGGATCTAGATTGTTTCTGAAATCATAATCCTAGTGATAAAGAGGGCAGTCCAAAACCCAAACAATACATTTTCATCAACGTCTTTAATGGCACAAATCCTTCTCCAAATTAATGAAACAACGGGTTTAGGATGGCAAGTGCGAGGGTGTTTCCATAAATTGTGTCCATAAAGACTTACCAATTATGTCTGTGGCCGACAGCAAGGGGTGGCGGTGGATGGCGGATAGGTCATGGTGGTGGGTGGCGGTGGCAGGCGGATAGGTCATGGTGGTGGGTGGCGACAAAAGTCACTTAACTTCGGTGAAAAATTTTCGCTTAAAGTTGAGTGAGTTCACATAAAAATGAACTAGACATTGCATTTAGTCATCAAATATCAATATTTTCAAAACATTTTCAAAAGAATATTTTGCACATACTTTACTCACAACCAAACAACCCCTAAAAAGATAAATCTTACGAAAGTCTGCTACGGAATACTTTACCACCACTTACCAATTCTATTACAAAATTGCTCTTCTGCTTTACTTCACTATACAGCTTTTTTTCCTTTCCCATTGGATATAATATTTTCTGTTTTATCTTAGCTCGCCCCGTTTTGGTATGGGGAGGAGAAAGAGGTGCAAGTGGTTTTTCTTTGTTTGTTCCCTGTTTGTCAAGCTTCCATGCTACCAAAATAACAGTTTGCCACGTAATCTACATGTTACCAAATGAATTGTCAAAACAATTGCACAAACAAATCAATTACAAAATGCTCATGCCATCCAATCTATAGAAGGAAAAAAAGTTACCTCTATCACACAATTAGACCACAGAAGCTCATGTTTAAAAATGCCATCCCCTGGAACGCCAGTAACTCTGCAAGTTCTGATTATTCCTTGCATCTCTGACCTTGAGAAAGAGCTTGTATGCTGTCTCAACTTTACTCATTGCCAACAACTTGTTATTAAGTTTGCTATAAACAATCCTCCCAGGACAACAGCCATGTCGTAATGCCTCATTCACAATAAGCACAGCAGTCTCAACATGCCCAACATTGCAGAGTCCATTGATAATACAATCATAAACTTCATTATCTAAAGTATAACCACTCTCCTGCATTTCTTCCCAAAGCTTCAACAGCATCCCGCCTTTACCACACCTTGCGAGCCTCATAAATAAAAGCTTGTAGGCCTTCAAAGATACTCTACACCCTAATTTCATGGCATTTTTGTAGATCACCATAGCAGCATGCGGCGGCCCAAAGTTGCACAAAGGTTCGATAAAGGAAGTAACCATTCCAACGGTAGGTACGAGTCCACGTCCCAGCATTTCATTAAAGAACTCAAGAGCATCTGCCACTCTCCTAGCTTTCAGGAAAGCTTTAATCAATTTGCTGTAAGTATCAATATCTGGAGAACATTTCCTCTCAGTCATTCTCTTGTAGTAATTAACTGCTTCCTCAATATCACCTGCTGAAATACAATTAGAAATCATCACATTGTATATGGATGTATCTGGAATGCATCCCTTCTCCTCTATCTTGTCAAAGGTTTCAGCAGCTTTGCCAATCCTCCCAGCTCTTCCTAATGCCTCAATAAGGTGGCAGAATGTTCGACAATCAGGACTGAAATTATCCGCCGCCATTGCTGCCCAGTATTTCTCCACTTTATCCACCATTCCAAACTTTGCCCACCCTGCAATGATTTCATTGTATGTTAGTTCATTAAATGGGATTTTCCCTTTCATGGAGTTCAATAATGAACTAGCAACTCCAACATGAGACTTAGTACATAGACACTTCAGGAGGATATTAAGAGCCTTGGTGTCACAATCAGCACCAATATCCTCTAGCCTTTTGAAAAAGTCAACAGCTTTTGAAACCTGACGAGCTCTCACAAAACTATCCAAGATAATTTCTATGGTTCCCAAATCAGGTTTCAACTCATCCTTCCTCATTCGAAGAGAGACTTCAACCATAAAGTCGAAAAATTTCCTTTTGCCAAGAGCTTTGAGAACCAAGTTATAGGTTTCAATGTTCTTCGGTAAATCTGAATGCCCCAACGCCCAATTAAAGAAAGCCACCATCGCTGCCCCGCCCATACTGCCCTTGTTCAGCACATCTGAAAAGATTTCCGGCGTCAAATTGACGCCGGTCGCAGAAAGGGCGGACTCTAAGGTGTATTTGCCGCTAACTTTCTGGAGAAAAATCCCTCGCAGCTTCTCATCGGGTAAGAGAAGGCAATTGCTCGGTTTTGATAGCTGGGGTTCCGGCATTGGTGTCAAGGTAAAAGCGCAACTTTTAGTGGTTTTAAGACCAATTGGAAGGATGCTAGATAACTCCTCAAGAACGAACTGCTCTGAGAGTGTTGTCTCGTGTTTCGAAGGAATTTCTTGAGATTTAGGAGAAAAAATAGATTGCTGCGAGAGATCGGAGGTGCAATATGTAAATGAATGGGGCAGAGGATAGATGGAAACCCTAAGGAGGTTATGATACCTGGTTAGGGTTCCAGACGCCATGACGACATGTGATAGCTCGACACGATGTCTTCGCTCTAGCAACGAATAAGCTCGCCCAATAAAGAGTCGCAGCAGGCTCCCTGAATTTACAAGCTATGGGGCTGTTTGGATGTAGGATTTAACAATGATTTATGCCGATTTTCAGCAGGATTGATGCCAAATGGGATTTGATCGCCCGCTAAATTTCACGGCGGAATAAAATCCTCCGTCTCCGGTCACCCCCTTCGGACTCTAAATACCAAATCCTGGAATTTTTATTGCCTCCTCCCAACTGACGCATCTCTACGTTCGGTATGGCTTCATAACGCGACATCTGGCAGCAGCTTTACCCGAGACCCGACCCGACGATGATTGGGTATATGGCACGTGCGAAATTTAAAAATAATGGCCCGAGCAGCGGACCCGAATATTATCTATTAATTAAATTGATCAATATAGCTTGGAGACGTCTAGGGCTCGCTATTATGGTGACTTTATCCTTTTCACGCGCTTCTTCGACCAAATCCCATAAATCCGGCGAACTACAAGATTTAAAAATATATAAGGTTGAGCTTTTTTTTTTGTTTTTTTTTTTTTTGGCCAAGAGATAAGCATTGGTATAGATTTAACACTATGGATTGATTTGTAGTAAGGATATACTTAGCCAAAGTGGCATGATTAAGTGTAAAGTGAAGCCTAATTAAAAATATATAACTAGATTATAAGGTAAAATCAAATTAGATTTTAATTAAGTTGATAATAGAAATGCTAACAGTACAAAATAAAGTAAGTCATAATGATCATTAGTAGTCCGACTTAGGTGCCATAGCATTGGGACATATAAATAATCAAACTTCACAATCTCAAAATGTTGTATCAGTCATTCTAAATGGTGTAGTCCTCAATTAATAAGCTCTCTAATATGTAATTGAAATGAATATTTTTATAAACATTATAAAATTTACAATAATTATGAAAAAATTAAATAAACTATAAAAAAATCCAGATAATTTGAAATATATTCAAACATGGTTAATATAATATTTGAATTTAAAAACATGCATTGATTAAATAAAAAATGCATAAAATTTTATTTCCCTTAATTAATCTATTTCTAAAAATTATGAAATTTAGATTTTTTTTTAAATTAATTTTTCTAATCTTGGCTAGAATGACTTTGAAAAATCAATCAAATCTAATTAAAGATATCACATTTAAGACATTCCATAAATCAGGATATAAAGAAAATAAAATAGGATAGCTTCATTTGGGACAACTTTTTTACTGCTTCTTAAAGTAATTTTTTAGTACCAAAATTTTTATATTAAAAAGATGCTTTAAGAAACAGTAAGAAAGCAGCCCTCAAACGAAACCAAAGACAACGAAAATATAAAAAGCTACACAATGCTTAAAATCATATACAAATCATTTTCAGTGAAATTGGAGAAGTACAGAAATATAAGATTATCCAACCAAAAAGAGAAACTATACTAAGAAATAAGAGAGAAAATGTAACATGAATTCAATTTTTACCTCTGACAAGCCTCACATGAAAGAACCAATGCACTAAAAGGGCAACAACAACTAATGCTCCAAGATAATTACATAGAGGACCATACCTCGCTATGAACCTATTGGTAAAAACAGAACTCTGAACGCCATTAATCTCAAGCATGAAGCTTCTGCTTCCCACAATGGTAACATTTTCAGCAACAGCACCACAAATTTCACAGTATCTGCAGAATTAAGATCAGCAACAGAAGCAGCAGGAAGCATCTTGAGTTTCAATGAACAGAATCACTCTAAATACTCATAGATTCGGTTGTGAGAACAATCTAAGGCATCGCTTGTGACAGGTTTCTTACTACTGCCTAAAGTAGTTTTTTAGTATAAAAATTATAAATTTTGTACTAAAATGCTGTTTTAAGAAGCAGTAAGAAAGCCGTCCCAAACAAAACCTGAATCAGTAGTTTTAAGTAAGAAATTATGCTGAAGTACTTAAATTTATATTTTGTTAAGTACTTACATAATCTTCTTACTTTAAAACACGATTAGGTTTTGTTAGGAGGCTCTTCTACTGCTATTAATAAAATCTTAAGACAGTATAACTTTTTTTAGTAAAGTAAGAAAAAATTTATATTTTTTATACTATATAAACTACTCTTAGGCAGCAGTAAGAAGCAATAAAACTAAGCCTTAGATTTCTCACAACCCGAATCTATGAGTATTTTAGATGATCTGTCATTAGAATCAGATGTCTTCCTGCTGCTACTCTGTTGCTGATATTATTCTGCAATACTGGTGAAAGTTGTGTGCTGTCTGCAAGATGTTACCATTGTGGAGCAGAAGCTTCATGCTTGAGATTAAGCCGTTCAGAGTTCGTTTTACAAATACAGTCATAAGCAGTTATGGTCTTATGTATATTATCTTGTAGCATTAGTTGTGTTGCCCTTTTAAGTGCATTGTTCTTTTCCATGGTGAGCTTGCAGAGGTAAAAATGTATTCATGTCATTCTCTTTCTTATTTCTTAGATATAGTTTCTCTCTTTTGGTGATAATCTTATCTGTCTTGTTCCATTTCACTGAAAAGATTGTTCTTGCATAGATTTAGCTTGTGTAGCTTTTTTATATTTTATTGTCTGTAACTCGTTTGGGATGATATTTTAATTATTTGTTAAATATAATTTTTTAGATTTTTATTGAGACGGTTTCTACTGCTTCTTAAAACAATTTTTTTAGTAAAAAAATTAAATTTATTGTAACTAGAGAAGCTGTTTTAAAAGAGCAACAAGATAAGCCGTCTCAAACGGAACCTTAGTAAAAAATTAAACATTTGGTACTAAAAAGTTATTTTACGAATCGTAAGAAAGGCTGTTTTAAACAAATTCCTTTGACCTGTTTTTGTTTTTTTATATTTGGATTATTTAGGATATCTTAAATGCTGATATCTTTAACATAGATTCTGATTTGATTTTTTTAAATCATTCCTGGCCAAATTAGAAAAATTTAATTAAAAATCTTAAGTAGAATTAATTAAGGTAAATAAATTTTAAAATGCATTTTTTATTTATCATGCATGTTTGTTTTAAGTCAAATATTATATTAAGCATAGTTTGAATATATTTCAATTATTTAATTTTTTTCTAGTTTTTTTTAAATTTTTTTCATAATCTTAATAATTTATAATGTTAAAATAAATAATTTAAAAAATATATTTTCATTTATATATTAGATAGCTTATTAATTGAGGACTCTTTCTGTGATTGAGTTAAGTTTGATTATTTCTATGTCCAATGGAACTAATGCTATATCAATAAGTCGGACTACTTCTAAGTATCATTATGACTTACTTTATTTCTTGTATTATTAGCATTTATATTATCGAACTAATTAATACAATATTAAAATTTTTTTGGGAAAATTTTTTATATATATATTTATTAAGATCACCTAACCGAGTTTTCCATAAGATTTCTTCATATCTTAATTATGAAATGTCTAATTCTTTTTGCACTGCTTAATGCTTAAATAATGTTTTAGTTTAGATCAATTTTGAATAAACCAATAATACTAGATTGCTTTAATTCACTAGGTCAAGTTGCATTATTATATACTACTTGCCTTGTTAGAGAAAGATTAAAGGAGGGTCAAATTACAATGTAATTGTGATAAAACATGTCATAATCAGTAGAGAGAGAGAGAGAGAGAGAGTAATTAATATACGGTAATATTATGTATAATTCATCATATCACTAAGTACAAGAGTAGCAAGACGGATACAAGAGTTTTTATATGAGAAGACCTAAAGAAAAAAACTCATGAGAGCTGATGAAATAATTTAAGTTGTGTTCATTATAGGATTGCATAATGATGCCTCCAGATGTGATTGTGGGAAAGGTGTTGATATGATGTTGTAAATATGTAATGTATAAATTGTATGTTTGTGAGGTAATAGTTGGAAGAGGCTTGTGGCATGGAGTTTGTCTTATAGAAATACGTTTATTACATAACTTTGGGGTTGATGTTGAAGATTTCAAGAGTCGTCATGCCTTGACATTAGTGTTTAATATGATCGCATTAGCTTTGTTAGGCAATGAGTGTGTCGATGTTTTGATGATGGCTAGGCGCAATCAGCAGCTAGGGATAACATTTATATCAATGGTTGTTGTGGCTTATAAGATATTATTATGTATGATTACGCGACAGTGGGCGACAAAAGTCAATGGGCTGATGTGTTGGCGATTGGACGCATTGACACATAGATGTGTCATACCCACCATCTACTATTCATTATATTTCCAACAATAGTGCCTGTATTATTTCCTTTATAAGAAAAACAGAATCGATTTTTTATTTGAAAGTAGGGATAATGCTCTGATGAGAAAAAATGTAATTAACAAATGAATTTATAATGCATTGAGCCAATTGATTAAGAGTAATATTTAAGATTGAATGGGAAACCTACTTAGATAATATTATAGAGATTGAAATAAAAATAATAATAATATTTCATTCCAAAGAAAAAATAGTTACATGAGAAGATTTATAAGGCTATTGAGATATTGTTTGTTAAGAGAATTAACCAGATAATCACTCCATCAAAGAGAGTAAGATTTAGATGCGGTAAAGTATATGTGAGATAAAACAATATAAATTTTATAATGTATTCATTTTCCTTTATTAAGATTGCCAAAATGGATCATCAAAATGTAAAGACTAACTAAATCTAATAAAAGAGCAATTAACTACCAACTCATAACCCAATCTAATAGTGAAGAGTCTTGGAATTTATTTGATAATCTTTTTAAAAGTTTTTCCTAACCATTAATTGCATTTCTATGAAATGATGTTCTTCCGTTGGTTTTATTAAGTTAAAGGTCATAATTTCGCATATTTATATCATGTTTTAATTGGTTGGTATCATCTTGGGAGAGAGAAATGCTCTAAACATGTAATGTCTAGATGGAGATGCGAATACTATCATTTCTAAATTAAAGCATAAAATTTTCACCTTAAAAAAAAAAAAAAAAAAAAAAAAAACATAAAATTGTTCAATTGTCTGTGGCTAAGCTTCTCAAGACTTACTCTTTCAAGGGGTATCCACATTTGTTAATGAGTTTTTTGAGTTTTTTTCTCCTGTTATATGCCTAAAAATAGAATCATTTTTTGGAAAAACCTTTGAGAGGTTGTTTTAACTTAATACAATGTTCTTAATCTCTCTGGTGCTGGGTGTGGGCATTATTATAACAATAAGGTTCTGTCATAAAAGAGGCTTTGCGGGTCCTTCAATGCTATAATGCTTATTCAAGCTGGAGCTGAATAGTTTTACTTTACGGAAATTAAGCTTTGGGTATTCCATTGGTAATTAACTAAATATTTGGGTGGAGGTGGATGATTGCTTAATATTCACTATAATCAATGGTCAAATGTTCTGCTAATGCTTGACAATTTCTATAAAATTAGGGATAGTTCAAACATTTGTTGTCCTTTCCTCCTTTACCATTACGCATATTTTAAGGCGATGGGTAATGCGGTGGGATGATTAACTTGCCAAATGGGGGTTTGCACTTTCTTAACTTGAGAAGTACGATGATCAACCTTCCCATTGTGCATTGGTCTTGCTAGATTAGATCGATTTGAACTACCTTATTTTCGTGTGCATTAGGCGCTGCTTGGTATTGTTTTCATTGCTGATTGTATCTGTAGCTTGTTTTTCCAGTTCTGATGTATTGGAGGGGGGTTTATTAAATGGCTTTTCTAACTTTCTATTATGGTTTGCCTGCATTCTGGTTACCGTAAGCGTTGGTTGGTACCACCTCTATGGTTTTTGGCTGCAATTTTGTTGTCTGGGTGCATGGTTAGATATTTTTGGCTGAGTTTTTTTGCACTGATGTCGAAGGGTTTCTGGCTCCTTTCCTTAAAGTGTATTTCTTACTGTTAGTTTTCTTGCTGTTGTGGATACTTTCGCCATTTATTTTTGTGCTTTCCTGGAATGGTTTTTTGGGATCATTGCCGTTTTTTCCTTTTCTGGAGCCTGGTTCTATTACTCGGTTTTATGTTCCCTCCCTTCTGGACTTTCGCTTCTTGCTGGATGGGAAGAAGCATTGCTTATTTTGTCCTCTTGTACATGGGGGGTGTTGGAAGTTCATATTTGTTTGTTCTGGGGCACTTATTTAATTCGGTAACAAATTTTTAAGCTGGGAATATGATGAACTTCTGTATGCATTAATATGTGTGGCATTTCATTTGAAGGTTTTTCACGCTTCAAAAGCTGGCTGGAGCGGGAGAATGTTGTTATACGCTTTCTGATGTTGGATTCTTACTGGAGGGAAAAGTCCTTCTTTCACTAGACTTCTAAGTGAATATCACTGCTTACTTTTTGGCTTTGGAGGACAGCCTGTTACTCTCTTATTTCGATACTCATTCAGCGGATTTCATGGGTTTTATTATATAAGATTGCAATCTTTCTTACTTGTTTATGTTGAGAAATTTTTTGCAGGCCTAGTATTTTTTTGGATCAAATGGGAACTTTGAAAAGAACTGCTGCAAGTACTCTTTTATTTCTAGTTGTTTTTTTCTTTTTCTGAGTTCTCTTCTTTTTTTGCAGGAAGATGGTACTGGAATGCTTATTTTAAGGATCTTCTTTTTTTGGGATGTTGTCCTTCTATAGCCCCGAGCTTTTCCTTTTATTATTTTTGTAATCTTAAAACAGGAACCACGGCTCTTGGTTTTTATTT